AGTGCCCTGTCCTCTGACTTTGGGGCCCAGGAGGCCGAGGAGGGGCTCGGAGGCTGGTGTCTCCCTGACAGTGGGCAGGTTGGGTAAGAAGTGCCAGGGACCTTGCCTCCTTCCCGCTACTGCTGTCCTATTAAACTGTGTGCAAAGCAGCCTCAAGGATTTCTGTGTGTCCTTGACCGTGGTGGGGGGAGCTTCCTGGTCCTTCCTGGGTTCCAAGGCTCTGAAAGCTTCAGGGGCTGCATCTGCTGGCAGAGCTGGGTGGCTGAGCCAGGGAGACCCTGTGGTTACTGCCCTGCCCCGGGTGGGACTGTTTCCAGGAGGCCACTTTCTAGGCTCCTCCAGAGGCTCAGCCCAAACCCCAAGAATGAGACAGATGTCCTCTCCCAGCACTCCTTCCCCTGGTTTGGACAGTCAGTGGCTTCATTACCTCAAGTCTCCTATCTGCACCATCAAACTCAGTTTCCCCTGGGGCCAGACACCAAGAAAAGGTGAGAGGTGGTCCTGTGCCCAGCGCCAGGATGTGTCCTTCTCTAGGAAAGTGGTGGTTCACTCCTGCCCCCCAGCCTGGACCACTGTCTGCTGATGTGGGGCCCTGGGAGCTACACGCCACATGGGGCCATGTACACACAACTTAACTAAGAGTGAATTAAGTGAAAACTCATGTCCTCAGGCTCACAAGCGACATGCATTGGACAGTAGGTACAGAGACACAGTCCATCGTCCTGGAAAGTTCCACTGGGCAATTCTGTTCACAGTTCAGAAAGTTGACTGTAGCCAATATAATCCAGAGATGGAGGTGGGGAAGAGCCCGCCCAGCTCCCTAGAATGCGGCTCCTTTCTTGCTCCAGTCTCTCTGCTCTCAACTCTTTCCAACACCCAACTCTTCCCTGCTCCTCCACCGCACAGGGTCCTCAGTCCCATCCACCCTGGTGGACACTGCTCCTGCCTCCCTTACACTGGGAAGAAGATAAATGGAAGCTGCTTTGAATGAGGGTGTGGTTAGGAATGGAGGGGTCTGGGACCACGTCTCAGTTTTGTTTCATTAAACTGTTAGCAAAGCAAGACAGAGAGTGCCCAGTGATTTCTTAGGTGTGGGTGTGGCTGGGAGAGGTCCAGTGACCTTGGGCCTTCCTGATGGGGGTCCATCTGCTGTGAGAGTTGGGTTGGAGAAATTGTTGCTCCAGGCCAGGCACTGACTGGGGGTGGGGGTGGGGATAGAAGGATGGAAGTGGTGGCAAGAGGGAGGGGGGATATTCTCAGTGACTATTCCACTCTTGGGGCCCCTGCTTGCAGCCCACCCTCCATTAGAAGGCCTCATCCCAAAATTGCAACCATTCATCCACACATCCACCCACCCGTCCGTCCGTCCGTCCATCCTCCATCCATCCATCCATCCAGTCATCCATCCATCCATTCAACCACCCATCCACACATTCATCCACACATCCATCCATCCACTCATCTACTCATCCATCCATCCATCCATCCATCCATCCATCCATCCATCCATCCATCCACCCACCCATCCACCCACCCACACATCCATCCATCCACACATCCAAACATTCACTCATCCATCCATCCATCCATCCATCCATCCATCCATCCATCCATCCACACATCCATCCATCCACACATCCATCCATCCACACATCCATCCACCCACACATCCATCATCCACTCATCTACTCACCCATCCATCCATCCATCCACCCACCCATCCATACATCCATCCATCCACCCACCCATCCATCCACACATCCACCCACCCATCCATCCACTCATCCATCCATCCATTCACACATCCACCCACCCAACCACACACCCATCCACACATCTATCCAACCATTCACCCATCCACATATGCATCCATCCACTCATCCATCCAACCATCCATTCATCTACCCATCCACACATCCATCCATCCACTCATCTACTCATCCATGCATCCATCCATCCACACATCCACCCACCCATCCACACATCCATCCATCCACTCATCCACTCATCCATCTATCCAGCCATCCAACCATCCATCCATCCACACATACATCCACACATCCACTCGTCCATCCATCCATCCATCCATCCATCCATCCATCCATCCATCCCTCCATCCACTCATCTATTTATCCATCCACACATCCATCCATCCATCCACTCATCTACTCATCCATGCATCCATCCATCCAGACATCCACCCACCCATCCATGCATCCATCCACACATCCATCCATTCACACATCCACTCATCCACCCATCCATCCACACATCCATCCATCCACTCATCCATCCATCCACTCATCCACCCATTCATTCATCCATTCACTCATCCATCCATTCATCTACTCATCCATCTGCACATCCATCCACTCATCCACACATCCATCCATCCACCCTTACTCATCCACCCATCCATCCATCCATCCATCCATCCACCCACCCATCCACCCATCCACCCATCCACCCATCCATTCATCCATTCATGCATCCATCCATCCTGAAATGCTATGTGGCAGACCCTGGGCTGTTTATGGAAGATACAGATATGAATAGAACATGACCTCTGCCTTCCTCAGTCTTCCAGTCTAGCAGGAAACCACCTTTTAAGCAAATAATGAGTATAGGGTGTGGCATATAAGTGGCACCCCCAAGGTAGATTCAGTGGCCATGCTGAAGACCTAAGCACTCCTGCCCCCGAGCCTGGACCACTGTCTGCTGATGTGGGGCCCTGGGAGCCACCCGCCATATGAGGCCGTGTACATACAACTTAATTAAGAGTGAATTAAGTGACCCAGGCCTGTCCTGGTCTCCACTGTGACCATCGCTTCCCACAGCTCAGCTACCTTTGGGTCCTCTGATCGCGTCTCCCTCCTGCCTGCTCTGCACGCTCTCCACTGTCCCTCCCCCTGGAAACCCAGGCCCTCTGTCCTGGTTGCCTGCCCTGGCCACCCTGCCCTGGCGGGGCTCTACTAGGTCCGCAGACTTGCCTGGGGGGTGCCTGCATGCACACCAGCCCCTGCCCAATGGTCATCCTGCGAAACCCGCTGCCCTGTAGGATACGCAATGTCTTGTTTGTTGGTTGGTTTTCCCCTGAGGTTATTCAGTTTCCCCAGGAGAAACTTCTGGCTGCTTCCCCTGGCTCCAGGCCAGGCTTGGGGAAGGGAGCTGGATGCGCCACTACGTGCTTGCAGATGTCACCCTGGGCCCCATTTCAGTCCCAGGCGGGGCTTCCTGCACCAGGAGCCTCCCAGGGCTGCCCTCCCTGTGTGTCTGTCACTGGGTTGTTGGACTGGGAATGTCAAAACACCTCCAGGAGAAATGAAATGTCTGGTCACGCATGACTGATCTGCAGGAACAGGTCGCAGCTAAACACTGTGCAGCGAGGCAGCTTCAGATCCATGGCCTCTGAATTTCTGAGGGAGGGTCCTGGGGATGCATCTTTGGTTACTGACTTGGGATGTCTGCTCTCAGCGCCTGATTAATACCCTCGGTGAATACCCAGCCTGCTTTCTGCTCTTGAGCTCACTTTCAGTTACCTTATATTCAAAAACAAGAGGAGGCTATGTTGTTTCTTTAGACTTGCTCATTCTCATATCAGATTATGGGCACAAACACTCCTGCATTTGGAAATTTAAAAATACACTTCCAAAGAATTTTCATGTCAGGGCACCTGGGTGACTCAGTCATTAAGCATCTGCCTTCGGCTCAGGTCGTGATCTCAGGGTCCTGGGATTGAGCCCCACGTGGGGCTCCGCTTCTCCCTCTCCCTCTGCTTATGCTCTCTCGTAAATAAATAAATAAATAAATAAATAAATAAATAACCCTTTAAAAAAGTAAATAAAAGAAACACATGGAACAGACCATAAAGAAATGACTGGGCTGCAAAGCCAAATGTCAGTTCCTTGGCCCTAAGTGGGAGGCAGAGCTCTGGGGAGGTAGATAGGGCAGGAAAGCAGGTGCACAAACATCAGGAACTAGAAGGGGGTGAACACAGGCTGGACCAGCTGTGATTCCCTGAATTTGCCATCAGAGGCCATGGACAATGTGGAGGCAGCAGGCACAGCCGAGGACAATTCAGGAGGAAGAACACCTGGACAGACGTGTGCACTGAGGGACCGCATGTGGGCCACTGACAGTCGCCCCAGATGTGAAGTACAAGTTAACACAGCAGTCCCACATGGTTTCCCGGGACAGTGACACTCAGCCTTCCAGGACCAGACAATCCCCACTTCACGCAAACCCTCCCAGGCAATGGGCTGCCATCGCTAGATGTGGGACCTGCGGTGTCCTGGGCTCCTCGACACCTGGGAAGGCAGGAGGACCCCCAGGCCCAGGTGACCTCAAAATCTGGGGAGCCTGAGCGGGTTCTGTCCTTCTGGGATGGGAGTGGCCTGCATCCCCCTTTTTCTTTACCCGGTGTCCACCTGGACTCAGGTGTGAGGTCGGGGTAAATGGGGCATTTCCGCCGGGACAAGGCCAGGGAGGCTGGCCCCTCGGTGTCCCACAGGACGTACAACTGAAGGAGAAAGATCGATAAACCCTGGAGGAAAGAGCAGGGTGGTGGGCTGAATAGTGTCTACTTCCTGACCCCGGGCACCTGTGAACATGACCTGATTTGGAAACAGGGTCTTTGCAGATGTGAGTTGAGGATCTTGAGATGAGGTTGTCTTGGATTTAGGGTGGCACCTACATCCAGTGATGGGCGTCCTTAAAAGACAAAGAAGAGGGGGGTTCGAGACGAGGAGACGCAGGAGAGGAGCCTGCCAGGCTGGAGCAGTGCGGCCATGAGCCCCGGGCCCCCAGGGCCTGCAGGGGCAGCCACCCCGCCCCACCAGGATCTCCCCGGACGTGGAGGGGCATCTGGGGGTTGAGCCCCACGCAGACCTGCAGCCCAGGAAGCTAGCACAGGTGTGGTGAAGCAGGGGCAAAGATGTCAGTAACTCTAATTGTTGTGGTCAAATAAAGTATCCATTGCAAGCAGATGCACTCCCAGCGGAATGGAATTTCCGGTCAAAAAGGACCCTGGAACTTGGCAGGAGGCAGGAAGCAATGGGCGAGGTAAGGTCCCCCGCATCTCTTGCTGGGAGGGGGCTACAGGCTAACAGAGGACCACCGTGTGCGTGCGTCTTCCTCGTGGCCAGGTTCCCCTGGGTGCCCGTGATGGGGTCCACCACCTCTCGAACCTCTCCCTCCCGACCCAACACCAGAGCACCGAAGGGCAGAGAGCGCAGGCTGGGCGGCGGCGGCAGCAAATGAGAGTTCGAACAACTCTAGTAGGACAGAAGCAGGTGGTGGAGGGACCGGCAGGCAGAGGGCCCCTCCGAACCACGGCAGCCAGTGACACGCAAAGCATCTACGTGAGGAACTTTATTTTATTTTATTTACTTGAGAGAGAGAGAGAGACCCTCGTGCATAGGAGCTGGGGGAGGGGCAGAGGGCGAAGCACACATGCTCACAGCCTCCTGCTCGCACGTTAACTCATGCACACTCACGCACACGTGCACACACTCTGACACACGCTCACACACAGGTCACACACTCATGCTCATGCACACACTCACGCACACATTATAATCCCCATGGAAAGTAAGACTCTTGTTCTAGAGAGATGGCCTCGCCTCCCTCCCTGGGCCCCTCAGCCCCCAGATGTGACAGGGCAGGCAGGGGCGCTGAGGCCTGGCTGTCTTTGGGAGACGCAGTTCCCAGCTGAGATCCCACTGGATGGTGGACTCTCTCCCTGCATGCAGCCAACGCTTGGTCCACAGTTGAAGGGAATCCCGGCACCCAGGTGGGAACTCTGCTCTGGTGGGTGAACAGGCCCAGGCTCTGGGCTGCTGGGATGGGCTGGCGTTTCTGCACCTGACAATGGGAGCCGAGTGCCAGGCCTCCCCTCGTGGAGAATGGGTTCCTCTAGATGCCGAGGTCTGCCTGCCACCAGAATGGCCACGCCTGGACCAGGGCCATTTCAACCTGGGCACTGGATATGAGGGCCAGATGACTTTCTGTTGTGGGCTGCCCTGTGCAACGGAGGGCGTTTAGCGGTGTCCCTGGCCTCCATGCTGGAAGGACCCTACAGTCTGGCACCCAAAAACGTCTCCAGACTCACACAATTGTCCCGGCTGAGACAAGCAGGTCTGGACAGGCCATCCAGCTGGTCCGTTGTGTCTCTCCCGGGAGCTGCTCTGGGCCCAGCGGGGGGATGGATGGGGTTAGAAGTGGGGCCGAGCTTGGCACTATGTCCCCACCCTGGGGGCAGGAAAGTCTGACCAGACCCCACCCACTTACTTGGAAAGAAAGATAAAAAGACTCCCAGGGAGTCCCAGGGAGGAAGGCTGTGTGTCCATCCACGGTGAGGAAGCTGACTGATGGTCAGACCCCTGAGACTGGCTTGCCAGACCCTGGGTTCTTGCCCTGGTCTCCTGACACCTGCCCTCCCCTCTTCCCTGCAGATGCTGTGGCTGATGCTTCTGACCCTCTCCTGCCTGGGGGGCTCCGTGCCCGCCAAGATCCCAGGTGAGTCCTAGCCCTGCACTGTGCCCGCCTGCCCTGGCACCCCAGCCCTGCCCTCAGGCCAGCTGGCCCTCTGACCTAGGTGAGAATGGCCCAGAAAGCTCCTGGGCTCTGCAGGGTGGCACGGCTGAGTCCCTGACCCCTGCACATTGTTCCACAGCATCCGTCCCCGAGAGGGAGTTGGTGGGTATGGTGGGGGCCACAGTGCCCCTCAGGGGAAGTGGCCATGGCAGGTCAGTCTCAGAATCTACGATTACTACTGGGCCTCCTGGAAGCACCTCTGCGAGGGCTCCCTCATCCACCTCCAGTGGGTGCTGAGCGCTGCCCACTGCATTTTCCGGTGAGTCATGCCAAGGACCCCTCACTGTGTGGAGGGTGGGGAAGGGGGTGGAAGCAGACACTGGGGCCCACTTGGGTTCTGGACTCAGACTGAGAGGGTCCTGGGGTCTGCCTCCCCCAGGAAAGACGCCGACCCGTCAGTCTCCCGGACCCACACCAGGGACGTGTATTTCTATGGGGGCAGGACGCTGCTGAACGTGAGCCACATCATCATCCACCCCAAGTACATCACTGCCTTTCTGGGGTTTTCCTGGCCCTGTTGAACCTGGCCACCCCCGTGAGAGTGTCACATGGCATTCGGCCAGTCACCCTGCCGTCACAGTCCCTGAACTTCAGCCCGGAGGACACATGCTGGCTGACCGGCTAGGGCAGGGGTCTGTACTATGGTGAGAACACCGGGGGGTGGGTCCTGGATCCTTCCTGCCCACCAGGTGGGGCAGGCTGCGGGGAAGGTTCAGGAGCTCAGAAATACTTGGGGAAGATAGGAACCCCCTTCACAGCCACCTGTGCCCCAGGTGTGGGTGGGCACGGGGCCGCTTGGACACTCTGATTTTGGTTTTGTATGAAGGAACCGGGCCGGATGGGTCAAAGGTATTTGCAGGGTCCGACAGTCAGCCCAGTGCGCCCAGACCCAGACCTGATGCTCTCAAATCCAGGGGTGGCAGGTTTGGGTCCGCGTGGTGTGGGAAGTGGCAGTGCTGAGGGCTCTGCAGCATGGGGGGAGGTGGCGGTGGCCAGTTCCACATCCTGACCCCTCCGCTTCTACCCCAGAGCCACTGCACCCACCCACTGCCTGCAGCAGGTGCAGATCCTGCTGGAAGAGGAGAAAGCCTGTGAGGAAGGTTACGGGAAGTACCTTCACGCAAGAGCCAACGGGAAGGTCATCCTGGAGGACATGCTATGTGCTGGCACTCTGGGCCGTAGCCCCTGCTATGTGAGGTGTTCAGCCCAGCCCCAGCTGCTGCGGGTCTCCTCCTGGCCTTATGTGCTCGGTGACTGACTGTCCCCTCTCCCTGCAGGGTGATTCTGGGGTCCCGCTGGTCTGCAAGAAGAAAGGCACCTGGGTTCAGGTGGGCGGGGTCAGCTGGGGCATCAGCTGCTCCAGGATTGAGCTGCCCGCCATCTTCACAAGCGTCCAGAGCCATGTGACCCGGATCCAGCGGCAGATCCGGAGGCGCCAGTGAGCCTCAGGTTGGGGCCAGGCTGTCGGCCAGCAGAGGATGGTGCTTCTTCCACCACCTCACGTCCCCAGAGCCGAGCTGACGTCCCACACTACTCCCCTCCCTTCCCTGTGCTTCAGCCCTCCCCTGTCCTGCCCCTCTTGTGGCCCCATCCTCCCCTGCCCGTGGGGAGAGGCAGGGTGGGGGCGCTAATGGGGGTGGTGAGCTGACAGGTGCGCTTGTCTCATTAAATTGTCTTGTAAACAGGCTGGTGGTCAGAGTGATCTTTGAGGTGGGTGTGGCCGCGGAGCTGGTTGACCGAGCTCACCTGTTTGGAATCCCAGAGTGCTGGCGGTGCTGGGAACGCTTGGGCTTGGGCAGGGGGAGCAGGGGTGGATGAGGTGATCTGAGACTCTCCCCCAACCCTGGGCCACCATCCGCTATCCCACCTTGCCTGCCATGCACCCTGTCACCAAGTGAGGGTGTTTGTAAGTTTACAGACAGCTGAGCCATCCTCAGGATCCCATTCATTCCACCAATGTTGGTGGGTGCCATATCCCCACATACAGGAGAGTACACGTTGCCTTCCTTGATCTCAGGGTCTGGAGGGGAGGCAGATGTGCCACAAGGATTTGAAATACAGCATGGAAGGCCATACAACCCCATAAACCCAACCAACAGTGAGATGGGAGGGTCAGGGCCGCAGTCATGGGAGGTCAGGACAAGACATGTTGCTTGCACTTGCCAGCAGGGTGACAAGTGAAGGAGCAGAGGAGGAATGAATAAATTCTGAAGCAGGAAACTGGGCGGGGGTCGGGTGGGGTGGGGTGGGTAGCATGAAGGAAAGCCCATTGAGGCAGAAGACAGTGGCTGGAAGACCAAAGTCCCCTTCCACATCCCCTCTCCAGCCTGGGTCTTGTTTGGTCCCTGGGAACCCTGATTAAAACACAGAGTAAGAAACAGATAATGACTCTCCACGTCCAGAGAGTCTCGCTGGATACGTGCCAACCTTGGCCACATGCCTCTTACTGGCCACAAAGTGGAAAGTGTTACTTTTATAAAGATGACCCTCAGGACAAGCCACCCTGCTATAGGGCATGTGGGGGCAAATTCAGTGACGGTTGGATAAGGTCTTTATGGGAGGAATTATAGTGTGGAGGGAAGGTTGTAGGAGGCGGCCCAAACACATAGGGAAAATGTCTGACGTGTATGGATGAGAAAAAGCAATGGTGGAGGGGTGACTATCCCCCTCAGTTAATTTACAAGTCAATTCGGTTTTGATCAATGTGTCACCAAGGATTTCACAGAGGCTGAAGAGCTTGTCCTAAGAGGCAGGAGAGAGCAAACGGCCAAGACTGGCCCAGAATTGTGAAGAGGAAGAATAGGAGGGGATTTTTAAGAAGCTGGAATATCTGGAACGGGGTGGACACAGGGAATGGAGGATGCATGAGCCCTGGCCCCTGGGGGTTGCATCGGTGGGTTGCACAACATGTGACCTCAAACATGTGCAGCTGTGGTGGCGCGTGTCCCCCTCAGTTGCACATGTGAGGGGGCCTCTTGGATCCGAGTTGGCCACCCCTCCAGAGACCCATGGCCATGTCCAGCCACCTCTGGACGCCGAGTGCTGCCAGGGCGCCAGCAGGGAAGCTCCATTCAGGACCCAGCATGTATTCTGGCTCACTAGGGTTGTTGAATACATAGTATACAAACTCATGCTGATGTACCAACTTTTAACCCAAAGTATTTACATAGAAACTTAGTCTTTTTTCTCTTTTAATCACTAAGCATTGCTTTATTTTTAAAAGATTTTTTTATTTATTTGAGGGAGAGAGCACACAGAGGGAGAGGGAGAGGGAGAAGCAGACTCCTCACTGAACAGGGAGCCCGATGTGGGGCTCAATCCCAGGACCCCAAGACCACGACCTGAACCGAAGGCAGATACTTTGCCAACTGGGCCACCTGGCACCCCTAAGCATTGCTTTAAATCCTAGACCCAGCCGTCCCCAATCCACCCACCAGCTGGTTAAGCTTCATTTTCTGGGGCTGGGAAATGGGGACAGGAGCTCTGTCTTTGCTGTATTTAAGTGAATTTGTGAGTGAGTGAAGTCTGAATGGATGGAAGACATGGACAAGTCATCTAATGGGTGGCTGGCTGGAGGAGATATGGATTGAGGACTGGAGGGATAGATGGAGGGATGGTTGGATAGATGGATGGTGGAGAGATGGATAGAGGGATGGATGGATGGATGGAGGGATGGGTGGAAGGATGGATAGAGGGATGGATGGATGGATAGATGGATGGAGGGATGGGTAGCTGCAAGAGGAGGGATGGATGGATGGAGGGATGGATGGGTGGGTGGATGGATGATGGATGGATGGAGAAATGGATGGAGGGACGGATGGAGGGATGGATGGATGATGGATGGAGGGAGGGATGGATGGATGATGGATGGATGGATGGAGGGAGGGATGGAGGGGTGGATGGAGGGATTGGATGGACAGATCAGAATGGCTCAGTGGTCTCAGCTTGAGTATCATTTTGGATTCAGCCACACTTGACTGAGTGTGTTGATAATTAGGTGGGATGAGGAACGTGCAGAATGTTACCCCACTGTTATTTTCACAGCACATAACTGGAAACCACCTAAATGTCCATGGGGAATTGGTTAAATAATTTACTCTAGATCCATACAACTGAGCACAGTGCACCACTAACAATGATGTATTTCTCTACGGAGGGGTGGTGGTGAAGGGAATGTGTGCTCACAGTGGCATCATGGTCTGGCTCCTTGTACAAACTGTGAGTGTGGGAGTGATCGTGGGTGGCCACGGTGGCTACTGCTGGCAGAAGATTAATGAGAATTTCAACTTTCTAATTTTTTTTTTGTAGCCTGAGTTACATTATTTTCATAATTAAAAAAAAGTATTTTCATGTCGGAGGAAAAGAGTTTTCTGGTTTTTAAAAGCCACATCAAAGTGGATTTTAAGTTTTTCCCCAAACATCTGCTTATAACTGGTAACATCTCAATGGCTCCATCAAAATGGCCCTGGGAAACCCTCTTCCTATCCAGGAAGTGCAGTGGTCCTCGTCATGAGAGATGCCGGGCATTCGCTGTGTTATGTGGAGATTTGACCCCCCTGCAAAAGAGAGATTCTTTGTGAGGACTCCCTAAAACATGTGGGAGGACCTTCCAGGTCTTTCCAGAGAGTTCTGCCAAAGCCAGGGCACTCGTGTTCATTGATATTGTGTTTCTGTTTGTGCCCAAAGACCGGGTCACCACTGGGGCCATGGAAGAAATGTGGTGATGGACGCTCCTCCCTCCAGGTTCCCGTGATCCCTCCGAGACACCACTGTCCATGCTAGGACCCCCTGCCCAGTCTTTTGCCCAACCAAGAGCTTTTGCCACCAGCCTGGGGAAGCCACAGCCTTTACCTAATGGTATCCCTGAACCAGGCATCCTGGCCACAGTCCTGGACTTGACCTATCATCGGCCAGTTCCTTCTGGCCCCAGTCCTGACGGTTGCAAGCCCCCCACCATGCAGCCCCCAAGCCTTCCTCTGATCCTATCGCTGAGCCTTCTCTTGGTGGTCTGGTCCTGAGCCTATCAAGGCAAGCAGGTATCCTGCCCCGGGCCCGGTTGCTTAACAGCTAAAGCCAGGACGACCAGGGACTGATGGTCTGAGGTTGATCTCCTTAGATAAGGGACCCAGTTCTCACGATTGGCACAGAAAGTGGGACCCTGGGTGTTTCATGCAGCTGGGGTCACTCCCCATGCTGTGGTGGCTGTCCCAGGTGTGGGCACCAGGCCAGAGGCAGGAGGGTGTGAGGAGCTGCCCTCTGGGGCAGCTGTCCATCCATCCCTCCATCAGAGCCTGGCTCTGAGTTGGGAAGAGGCCGGAGCACCAGTGCCCCCTCCTTCCATGCCTCTCTAGAAGGCCATTTTCCCTCAGTGACCCATGTCCTCCCTCTTCTCTCTTCCCGGATGCTGGATGCAAAGCTTTCTCTGATGGGCCATAGGTCTCAGCCATGCCTGGAACAGCCCAAGCCATACCTCAAAGGCTGGGGTGCAGTGCTTAGACTCCTGTTCACCAATTCCAGAATTATCCTTGCCCACTCCGCCTGCCCGCATGCTGCCATGTTTAGCATGGGGCTCTCCAAGACTAGGGACGCAGGCTTCTCCACCCAAGCATGCCTCTTGGGGTCCCCTGGGCTCACTCTGTCCACTCCATTGCCCTGTGCCCATGTGCCCTGGACAAACAGGGCTGGGCTGGGCTACCTGGCACGGGGACCCTATCGTGGCCCTCTGTCCTTCTGTCCCCACTGGAGGTGGCTCTAGGTCAAGGTATGCTGTCTCCCTGGTCACCTTCCCTTGGGTTCCTGAGGCCCAGTGGCCCTGAGCCACTCCGAATCACTGTCACCACTGACCACAGAGGCTGTTCTGAGCTTGGAGCTCAGGGGACAGGAAGCTCTGAACCGGGCTCAGGCATCATCTTCCTGAGTCACCCTTGGAGAAGCTGAGACTCAGCTTGCTCCTGACACAGGAGAGAGGGCCCAGAAGGGCAAGGGGTGTGCAGGCCACTCAGGATGGGGGCACAAGGGTGGAGGCTGTCCCCAGGTGGGGAAGCCCCTGCAGGACATTGCACCTGCCCCGAAGGGCCAGGCCAACATGGGTGAAGAGCATGAGTCTGCCCTGGTCGAAAAGTGGGGCGGGGGGGTGGGTAGAGAAGCACCCAGGGCTGGGCCTGCCACGGGTTCCGGGGCTTCTGCTGCTCAGATGTGTCCTGAGGAAGCATCAGAGTGAGCTGGGGGTGGGCCGCAGGGCTCCCCGGGCCTCAATCTCCAGGTGTGTGATGAGGAATCGGCCTCAGGTTAATCTGGTCTCCAGCTTTGCTGATTCTCTGTGGCCCTCTCTACGGAAGCAAAGGCCACCCTCCTTTTGGAGACTGCATGAACTGGGAACGGTGTGTGTGGGGTGCCCTGGGATCTGGGAGCCCGTCGACTGTGGGGTAGAAGCTCTGCCCGATACATTGCCACCTGCCTGAGGCCTGTGGAACGTGGCAACCTGTGCTCAGAGCTGGGGGTGAGGAAGGGTGCCTCCCTGGGCCCTGGTTCAAGCGTTAGCTCATGGGGGTGTAGGAGGCTGCCTTGGGGCGAGTGGGCACAGCTGTGGGCACCGCCCCCTCTCCCGCCCCCACCCTCCCAGCGGCTCTGCTCTGTTGGAGATACCGGCGGGACGGCCACTCCACATGGCTCAGGATGAGCCTCAGCTTGGGGAAGGGCCAGGGGACGGCGTACCCAGGCGGGCAGCCACCAATGGGTTCAACCTGGCACCCGACTGCCCTTCTTCCCCAACCTCCCCTCCAAGTGGAGGGCTGACCAAGCCGCCTGCCTACTTCCTGTGGCCAAGAGATAAAGGGGCACAGGAGGCCCCCAGCGCAGAGGCCCATGGAGTCCAGGCAAGGTAGGGGTGCTGGTCCCTCCCAGACACCTGCAGAGGCTCCGGGCCCTCTCCATCCCTGAGCCCGGGGCCTGAGTCCCAGCCATCCCTCCATGCCCTCTCCCCCTGCAGATGCTCCAGGTGTTGCTTTCGGCCCTCTTCCTCCTGGGGAGCTCCACTGCTGGGACCCCAGGTGAATCCTGACCCCACAGGACCCCTCCCTTCTCCAGAAGCTCCTGTAACCTTGTCTCTAGTTCCAGCCGCTGGGAGGCCTTGTGGCAGCTCATCTGCACACAGCTCCTCCGGCCACTCCAGGAGGGCCTAAGTGGGGGCAGCCGGGCTCAGCACCATCTCCTGTTGCTTCCTCAGCGTCCAGCTCCTGATCAGGAGCTGGTGGGCATCATCGGTGGCCACAATGCCCCCCAGGGGAAGTGGCATGGCAGGTCAGCCTGAGAATCTACGCTTACCACTGGGCCTCCTGGGTGCACATCTGCAGGGGCTCCCTCATCCACCCCCGGTGGGTACTGACCGCCGCCCACTGCATTTTCCGGTGAGTCCCACGTGCTGCTGTCCAGCTCTGGGTGGGACATGGGGGGAATCAGGAGGTGGGAAACCTGGGTTCACGGTAGGATTCTGCCTGGAATTGCCACTCCCCTCCCCGCGGTGCCCAGGGGGCTGCCCTAGGAGGAACCACCTCTGTGGCTTCTTTTTGACCCCAGGAAGGACACCGACCCCTCAGCCTACAGCATCCATGCCGGGGACGTGTATCTCTATGGGGGCAGGAGGCTGCTGAATGTGAGCCGTGTCATCATCCACCCCAACTGCAACTACGCCAATCTGGGCGCGGACATCGCCCTGCTCCAGCTGTCAGACTGTGGAGGGCACTGCGAACGTCAAGCAGGTCAGGCTCTCGTCAGCCCAGCTTGAGGTCACCCCAGAGGACCGGTGCTGGGTGACTGGCTGGGGCGCCATAAGGATGCATCGTGTGTATGGGGCGGGGGCCGGGCGGGGTCTTTCCCAAGCCTGTCATCCCCGGGAACTCCTGGCGGGCAGGGGGTTGCAGGTTCCAGAAAGGAAAGAGAAGGGGCTGCTCGCACATCAGTGCCCCCCACCCCCGCGCCATACACTCCACTCGGGAGGGAGATCTGGCCCCCCCAGGCTGGACGGTTCTGTGACTGGCTGACAGGCAGACTGAGCTCAGGGCTCAGTCTTGGGATGGGGAAATGCAAATGCTTATTTCCACTTTAAAAGGAGATATTTTGGGGGGAAAACCAGAAAAACTCACACTTCTGTTTTCTTTCTGGTCTTTCTGTCGGCAGAGTCTTAGGAATTCAGAGGTGGGCAGGGCCTCCTGCGCCCCAGGGGGCCCCACAGCGGCCTGCCAGGGGGAGGCTGCGCTCTGCGGGGACCCAGGTGGCTGGGCAGGACATGCTGCCAACCTCTGGTCGCCTCTCCCAGAGTCACAGCACCCCCCCTTAACGCCTGCAGCAGGTGAGGGTGCAGGTGGTGGAGAATGCCGTCTGTGACCAGCTGTACCACGCCTCTGGACAGGGCCAGCAGGGGAAGATCATCCAGGACGACATGCTGTGCACGGGGACTGAGGGCCCGGACTCCTGCTACGTGAGTCCCACCCCATCTCCGCCCCCTGTCCCGCCCCGGCTGCTGGCGGCCACTCAGCCCTCCCTCTCCTCCCGCAGGGCGACTCTGGAGGCCCTCTGGTCTGCAAGGCGAAGAGCACTTGGTACTTGGTAGGAGTGGTCAGCTGGGGCTACGGCTGTGCCCTGCGCAACATTCCCGGGGTCTACGCGCGCATCCAGACCTATGTGCCCTGGATCACGCGGCAGATCTGGAGGTGCCCCTGACCCAGCTGGGAGCAGCGGCTCCTGCCTTCTCCCAGGGCCTGCTGTTTCAGCCTCAGCCTCACTCGCTCTGGTCTGGGCTCCACCTTCTCAGTGTCCCCGGCCTCCCCGACTGGTGGCAGATAGAGCAGGAGGATGCTGGGGAGTGGGGCCGGAGGCCTCTGGGGCAGAGGGTGCCTCACTGCGCTGTCTGTCAGATTAAAGAGCTTGAGGAATGACCCGAGTGTGGCCAGAGTCTTTGTGGGATGGGCTGACCACGGGCAACGTGGCTTTCCGTGGGAGTGTGTCCCCCAGCCCTGATGTGCAGAGGGCTGCACGTAGGGGCCAGTGTCCTTCCAGGCCTGGGAAGGGCGAGCGAGGATCTCAGTGTCGGTTCCACTCGGGGGCCACAGCCCTGGGGCTGGGGAGGGGACGGCTGAGTGGCCCTTGGTGGGGGCAAAACATCCTGGAGCCCAATGGCGGGTGGGCGGGCAGCAGTGGGAATGGGCTAAATGGCATTGAGCTGTGTACTTCCACTGGTCACGGGGGTGGAATTATGTTTGTATACGTGAACATGATCAAACACCCAAAGTCCCCAGCACACGTTCCTGCATTTACGGGGGGCCCAGCAAGCGACAGAGGGCCGCCCGCCCAGCACGGTCCGGCCGCTCTGTGAAGTAACAGATCTCTTGCCCCGTGGCTGCCCCTTGGCCTCTGCTGGTCCCTCCTTCCACCTCCCACCAGCTCCCTGGAAGGATGGCGTTTGCGGGGAGCCCTTGGGCAGGGGCAGGAAGGGAGTGACTGCCTGAGATAAGACAGGCTTCGGTGTCTCTGGCCTCGCCAGAATCAATAGAGCCGTGCCTCCCAGAACCTCTTGGTCCTTCCTGCTCCGTGTTTGCTCTGCACCTGGACCAGGCAGATGCTGAAGGTCACTCTGCCTGGGCTTACCTCAAATCCCACCCCGTTGCCTGAAGCCTGATCCCTGACCACCTGTGTGGCCTTGCCTCGCTGGGGCGGCAGGGTCCCGGAGCCTGGGGCTGGGCCGGGGGGCCAGGGAGGGACCAGGCCCTCTTCCCCGCATGCAGGGCAGGAGGGAACAGAGCTGAGAGCAGGACAGCAGGCGTCAGAACCGCCAGGGACAGGGAAGAGGTCGGAGGCCAAGGGGGAGGGGCTGGGTGTAGCTCCAGGCCATGGTGACATCATGCCAGAGTCAGACGCCACCAAGGCTCACGGAGAACCTGGAGTCTCCGCTGGGCCCTTGGTACACGTCTGTCCAGATAAGGAGGGGGTCTTCGGAGAGCAGGAGGGGCAGGCTTCACCTCTCCAGCTCCAGCCCCCATCTCTTCCTGTGGTCATTCCCGGGACTGGGGTGGTGTGACCCCCACAAGGCCAGGGTCACAGGGGTGATGCTGGCAGAGGACACGCTAGGGGCCACCTGGTTCGCCCTCTCTCTGGGCCCTTGGTCTTTGCAGTGGGGAGACCTGCGGGGAGGCTGGTCCTGCAGCCCCCAGTGCTGGCCGGGGCTCCAACACCCTCCATCCTGCCTCTGTCTACAGATGTGGCTCCTTCCAGTGCTCCTTGTGCTCCCCTTCCTGGGAGAAAGGGGTGAGTCCCACAGCCAGAGCGCCCATCCGCCTGGAACCCGGACCTCTGACCGTGGGGACCCAGTCCATGGCTCCTCCGAGCCGGGGCCTTCTCCAGCCACATGCACGCTCCACGGTCCCTCCTGGGCTCCTTGCTTCCCAGCTCCCTGGGAGATGGGGTGGGGGTGGGGGGGACATATTCGATCCAAACTGTCCTTGGGGCTGCACAGCTTGTACCCCGCTGGTCTGTGTGCGAGAACCGTCACGCACACATGCCCTTCGGTAACCTTCTGCTCTCAGAGTCCTTTCCCTTGGAGTAGCTGCTCTGCGTGGGACTCAGGAGGAAGTCGAAGCAGAGAATGGTAAACCGAGGCTTCCTGGTGCCCTGCCCGCCGCCACCGCGTGCCAGAACCACATGCAGGGCTTTCCCGTGACTTGTGTCATTTAAGCTTCAAAATCACAGCAGTGGAAATGCCATCCAGGGGCAGGGAGACTGGAGGTCTGCCTCCTTCTCCAACCTGGTGCCACCAGCCACCCATGGGGGCTGCTGACGTCTAGATTACTTACAATTACGATGAAAAATTCAGCTCCTCAGTCCCAGGGCACACTTCCTTCCCGTGGCCAGGGGCCTGGACCGCACTGGACCATGGTACAGAGCATGCCCATCCCTGTAGAAAGTTCCACTGGGCAGTGCCGTTTGCAACTCAGAAAGCTGAGTGTGGGCTATCGAATCTGCGGTGGAGGTGGCAGGAGGGTCCAGCTCTCCGGCCCCCCACCGGGCCCTGTTTCCCCAGAGGAGGCCGGCCGGTGACCCTGTCTCTCCACCAGGGAGGAGCTTCAGCCCGGAGGCCCGTATCGTTGGGGGTATGGCGGCAGCACCCCGGCCTTGGCCCTGGCAGGTCAGCCTCCGAGACCAGGGGCAGCTCATCTGTGGAGGCAGTCTTATCAGCCACCGGTGGGTGCTGACCGCCGCCCACTGTGTCTCCAGGTGAGTCCTGCCTCCCCACACTGGGCAGCCCGGGCCGTGAGATGCCCTGGGGCAGCTGTGCGGGGAAAAGAATTGTGGGTCTGGAGCAGCACCCGGGCCCACGGGGCTCCCCGGCCTTTTCTGCCACTGGCAGGCGGCTCGGAGCCCCACAGGCGGGCCTGGCGCCTGCACCTGGCTCTCCCCTCCAGGACTGTGCCTCAGACGCTGGCCATTCCCTTCCAACTAGGAAAGAAAACGAACTTTAATTATTTGACAATACTTGGAAGTCAGGAACTTTTTTCCAATTTTTGGAACTCTGGTTAAATGCACAACATAAAATTGATCCTCTCGATCCCTTCTCAGTCCACAGTTTCCACTGTTGAGTAACCACCCCCCTCCCCAGGAACTCCTCTGTCTTCCCAAACTGAAGCTCTGTCCCCACTAAGCACTCACGCCCACCCTCCCCGGCCTGGCACCCACCCTCCACCTCCCATCTCCATGGTTCTGACGATCGCAGGGACCTCATCGAAGCCGAATCCTGCAATGCGTATTCTCTGGAATCGGGCCAGTTGCACCGAGCAGGTCTTCAAGGGTCACCCATGTTATTATAGCAAGTGTCAGAAATTCTCTCTTTTCTCTCGCTGGATGTTATCCCGCTGTGCGGATGGGCAGTGTTTTGTACATTCATTCCTCTGTCCGTCGACACCTGCATTGCTCCCCGTTTCAGCGATTGTTATCATGCTGCTCAGCACGGGTGTACGAGAAAGTAGAGAGTGTTTCAAGAGCTAGATGCCCTCTGACGATATTTGAAAATGAAAAGCAGAATCAGGGGCGCCTGGGTGGCTCAGTTGGTTAAGCGACTGCCTTCGGCTCAGGTCATGATCCTGGAGTCCCGGGATCGAGTCCCGCATCGGGCTCCCTGCTCGGCAGGGAGTCTGCTTCTCCCTCTGACCCTCTTCCCTCTCGTGCTCTCTGTCTCTCATTCTCTCTCTCAAATAAATAAATAAAATCTTAAAAAAAAAAAAAAAAAGCAGAATCAAACTATCATAAAACAATCGGGTACTGAATTCTATATAAAGAGAATTCACAATCAAGGTTGGTCCCTCCTGAACCTGAGCTATGGTGTCAACTTAACCTTAGCAGATGCAATAATTAAAGTATAATCGGCTGGTCCCAGGTGTCATCTTGGGGTAAATAAGCCTTTCACAATTTTGTTGGTGCTGGGGCTGTTCCTGGGATGTCCTCGGTAGATGTCCAGTCCTGGAAATCGTGGCCGACGGTTACTGGGGACTTCCTGCCCCAGGGCACTGTCCCAAGCACACTCAGGATAACCGCCTTAGGTAGATACTTTTACCCCCATGTTTCAGGATGGGAAACTGAGGCACAGAGAGGTGAGTAATTTGCTTAAGACCGAAGGATACGCAAGAGGCAGATGCGGGATGTGGACCCTGAGAAAAGGGACACTGGGGTTAGGGGCAGTCCTGCTGGGACAATGTAGCCCTCCATCGGTCATAGGCATCAGGCCCAGAGAGAGCAGCTCCCTGAGGAACTCAAAACACTTTCATCAACAAGTTCCTGCCTCCTTTGTGCTTTCGAATGGCCCCTACCAGGTCACTGCCCACCTGCTGTCCTCAGATGCCAGGGAGGGGGCCTGCTGACGTGCTCCATGAGTTCCGCAGCCCCCCAAACGCAGCTCCCCCAACTTGTACCCCTGCCCCTGCCGAGAACGTTGTCTCCCTGCCCACCACTCCAGTGCAGCCCAACCTGCCCCCCAGCACCCCCGGCCATCTCAGCACTGTGCCCCGGCTGTCTGGCCCAGGAAGAGCAGGGCTGTGTCCACTCCGTCCCCACCAGTATAGGCCCTGCTGCATGGAGGACTCTCCACAGTCAAAGGCTGAACCACCTGTCACCTGGAGCTGGAGTTTACATGGGAGTCTTTCCCTGCCAGATGGGGTTTCCTGGGGACAAGTGCCCAGAGGATGTGCCCTGTGTTCCTCATGCCTGGATCCGACTCAGAGGGCCAGGTAGAGCAGACGGTCCTTCAGTGCCATGCCCTCTCCCCAGCAGAGCTAGCTGGGTGAAGCCGAAGCCACTGGACCACCGCCCTCAGAGCCCACCATGTCCTTTCTGCTTCCTGCCCAGCTTCACGAATCTGCAGGACCTGAGCATCCAGCTGGGAGAGGCTGTGCTGTATCCCAGTCCCCAGGACTGCGTCTCTGTGGCTGCCGTCCGCGTCATCCAGCACCCCTCCAATGGGGACGCCCTCCAGGGTGGCGACGTGGCTCTGCTGAAGCTGGCCTGCCCTGTGCCCTTCTCCAGCGCCATCAGACCTATCCCTCTGGCTCCACTGGGCTCCGACTTTCCCACAGGCACCCTCTGCTGGGTGACCGGCTGGGGGGACATCTGGCAGAATGGTGAGTGAGGGGCAAGGGGCTGGGGGCTGGGGCACAGGGAGCTGCCCTGAGCTGAAGGCA